CTTTGCCAGCACGAAGGGCTGGCAAAATTTTGAGTGTTTACTGGACTAAATTAATTAATTTGTCTTTTACTCGGCACATGATACATTTGATATTATTAAATAGGCTGGTTTTATAGTTTATTTAATAAAAAATAGACTTAAACTTGTTTGCGGTGGAGATTTCGTATAAAAAAACAATAAAAAACCTAACAGCCACATTGAGAACCTCCTTATAATTCAAAATCAGTTTATACAATTCAATTCGAGATTTTAATACTAGGTTTAGCATATATGAAGCTATATTCTAAATTTGAATTTCAAATAGTCTCTCAGGATTACGATGATATTTCACGCATCGTGTGCAAGGAATCGCATTTCTACTGAGAGGATGTCAATCTATTTTATATTAAAGATGTGTTCGTGAGGTGAGGGCGTTAGTAAGCCTACCACCGCGTTATGGTTGGTTCAATCGAAAATCACACCTTAGTCGTATTATCATCTGCACTCTTATATCGGATTTGTTGTTGGATCAGTCCGGAAGCATCGGTAGCACTTGGCGGGTGCGAGAGTAGTTGTAAAACAAGTCTAGCACTTTTGTCGCGTCTAGACGGTGCGCGTCGGGTCCCTATCGGCTGCCGTAAAATTATGTGACGTAGGCGGGCAACGTACCGTTCTAGCATATCCGGCTGAATTCGATCTTTACTTAATATATTACAAAGTTAAGTTTTCGACATCTAGCCACGCTTCAAGTAACAAGTTAACAAAATGTTGCGATAAACCAGCTATGTTATTGTAGACTGTAGACTAACCATACAATAACTCAGATCAGTGAACTCTATGCTTTTTATTGACGAGGTTATTCAGATGTTAATATAACACAAAGAAATCTGTGGAAACATTTAAATTTTGGTCATTGGCAGAATTCGCTATAATGTTTGACAAGGTGCTCCACAATACGCATACTATAGGTATTTTCTTTGTTCTTTTTTACTGTTATTGAAGATAAGTATGTAAAATCGCTATTTAGCAGTAAAACTATCAGACATTCCTCACATAGTAATCATTTAAATGTAGAATTATTCACTTTAGTATACCTCGTTTACTAAAAAAAAAAAAAACTAACATGAATACGCTAGGATACAAACTGCTACTGAACATTTGAACAACTCTTGTCGTTCAGTCGTACATTTATTCACAGCATTCCAGCCAATGTACCATTGACGTACATAGTAAGAGTGCTAGTCGGAGCACGTCGGACGGAGGGAAGGGCGACAGGCGCCCGGGGAACCTAATAGAACTGCGTCGCGTCCCGCCTCTGATCGGCCGCATACTACATTTCCTCTCCGCAACTGAAAGCCTGAATAGACCGTAACACCCTCAATTACTTGGAAATCTTTTTCCGCTCCTCGGTGACCAAAGACTATGCAAAAGTTTCTAGATATTTTATGTCAATATGTAAAGAGAAAACATTGGTTTCCAGTTTAAGAATACTAATGGTTGCATAGAGATCAGATTGCGTCTTAGATATTGAATTGGATGGAGTAGTAGTGGTTGTGTATTCGATCCCCACATGGGACAACATTTTGTGTGATCTACAAATTGTTGTTTTGAGTCTGGCTGTTTGTTGTGTCCGTTTCATGTATGATTGTAAAGTCCTATTAAAGTAAAATATATTCCTTTTATAACAATTTCGACATTCAAATTTAAATTTATTTTTTGATGAATAAAGTCATTATCCTCTAATTGACTTTAATGTTCCGGCAATTATAATAAGTTAAAATTAAATAACATAATTAATGATCTGACCAAATAAATATTTTAAAATATGTGAATTAAAAAGGTATACAGATTCCTGACGATCGGGATTGATAGTTTTTTTTTGTCCATATTTAAGCATCAACTTGTAGTTCACTTATTTGTTTTTTTAACGCTTCAGACAATTATTAAGATTGGATCTAATAATTCTAAACTCTGTGCTCTAGGCCACATACAACGTCTTAGTGATAGCCTTTGAAGTGTGTATTTGCTTTTAAAAATAGACGACGTGAAATGGCTTGTTTCACAATCTCACAATAGGTCGCTTGAGATAACCTGTACCGACTATATGGAGTAAATGTAACAGCCGACCAACAAAGAAATCTAGATCAAACGGACAATGCGGTCTTTACGAAACTCGTTAGTAATTTGTGAGGTGTTAGCAACTTTTCTCCGTGGTGAGAGTTGTACTAAGTGGCGAAACTGTTGCCTTTACAATAGAACAAAGGTTAGCCACTGGGAGTTGGGACGCGGGACAACGACGCGGCGTAAGCGCATATCTGTTGCGGGTCATCGCGTTGTAACTTTTCACTAAGGCCTATTTTGCCCATCTGCGTCTAACAACGCCATGTAAATAGGAACCATATTAACTTGTAGGGTTTGTATAGGAAAAGACGGTTTATTTTATATTTTTAGGTAAGCTAACATAGAACATACTTATAATATAAATGCGAAAGTCAATTTGTTTGTTTGTTACGCTTTGACGCCTCAATGACTAAACCGATATTAAAAATTCTTTCCCCGATTGAAAGCTACATAATCGGCGAGTAACATAGGCTACGTTTAACCTCGATAACCGACATACACGCGGGCGGAGCCGCGGGCAAAAGCTGATAGTAAAATAAGCCTGGTTTACGGCGAAAGCCAAAAATTGTTTGTTTTGTAAATGCATTCGTGATGTTAACCTAAGTTTTAGAAACTAAAATTTATTTAGACCATTACAATCTAGATACAGTGTGTACCTGACCTTTACAAAGAGATGTTGCTCACGACCGATGTCAATCTGATCATAATCAGTTGTGCTCAAATACGTGGACGGAACCATTTGCTTTGAATTAAGACATTTTTTAAACACTTATTACTTTTTAGTGTCGAGAATAAAATAGCAAGCCGGAGAAAAAACCTCCTTAATCACAAATAGTCAAACGGGAAAAAAGGCCACATCCCCTTCACTTAATAGAGAAATAGTTTTAAACGGTATCAACCAAGATTAGGTCTTTTATGACTTTTCTGAGCACAGACTGTGCAACAGATTGAAACATAAATATGAAACCTACGTACTCAGTTATACTAAGGGCATTGATTTTACGGTGGTAAAGTTAGTATTGAAGTAAGTAGACAAAGAAAAATATACTGCAATGTTGTTTAACCAAACATAATGTACAGCGCATATAATATGAACCATTAAGCTATAACACCAGGACTTAAAGTGTTAAGTTGTATTTATTTGCAAAGCAATTATTAGTTACTGACCAGGGCTTCGCTTGCGTTTAGGAGAGTTCTACTACATAATAAAAATATTTACTTGACACATCTTACACTCGGCCGTCTGATCCCAAATGAGCCTTTATTATGGTAAATATTTCTAAAATCGTACAACTACACAATTATTGTTCTGTCACACAATATTTGTTCTAGGTGGGAATCGAAATTTCTCGTCGGTCGGACGTCGTGGTTCGTTAATTTCTCTTTTCATGGCCATTTTTAAGTAGTCATCTCAGGCGAAAGACTTCCACTGCTGATCATAGGCCTCCCCCAACTTTTTGTAGTAAATCTAGTTAAACTATAAAAGAAAGAGAGCGACTAAGTGCGTATTTTGTTTCTAAATAAGTAAATCTTAAGTAAGTAACAACTCCATCTAAGTATTTTTGTTCTAGGGGCTTTGTATTTTAGATATAACCACATACACATTATATATATATAGTATATTTATTAATCAGGTTCTAGGAAGACGGAAAATTGTGTTGACTTTTGGATATTAAATAACCGTGTTTTTTAAATTGTTCGTTAACAGAAAGTATGCTTTTATTTGCTTTGATTATTTTTTTGAAAAATAACATAACACACAAAAATATAGTTGATTGATTAATTACTTTATTAATAATCCATCGTAATATTTGAGACAACTTTCGTAAAAATTTATTTCGTAAATATTTCGTAATAAAATGTTTGTGTGCCAGATTCATAATAACTAATCAAAAATACAGTAGGCATAAATACTTTTGCCTACTGTATTAGCTTTTTAAAGCAACGTTTTATTATTCATTACGAAAAAAATATATAACCGTTAATAAATGCATACATATTTTTATGATTCGCACTAAAAACGCTGATTTATAGTACGGATTAAAAGTTGTGCTTGTCATTGCATAAAATTTTCTTTAAAATGAGAAATTTCTTCTATTTAAAATTATCTTAGGTCCATTTTCTACTTTACTAATATTTTTTAACTTTAATAGACATGCTGTCATATTTATTCACACAGTTTTTGAAATTTACATACTGAATGGTGGTATTGATTACACGGTAGCTGCAATTTCATTACGCAGATGTAATTAAATCAGTAGAAAAAATCATATTGTTTCTTTCTTGTTATGTTAACTTGTACATGAGATGTAGCAGTATGTGGAAAAATAATATATTGTTATCTTTGACTTTTCTTGGACTATTAGAATTACAAGTTTTTAATTTAGTAAGTTTTTTTTATTTATCTAATATTTTTTATTTTGATTGGGTAAGCTTCGTCTTAAGGTATTTGACTAAGATTCATTTTAGGCTTATCATGATATATTTTTTTACCTATGGACGTCTTTCTTTCAGATTTCCTTAACTTATATTGTCAATAGCGTCAATTTAATGTGAATTCTATAGACAGATGGAGACTTAAAGATCTCTATCGATATCTGGCAACTTTTCTCATTCAATATATTAGACTACCTTGTTAGATAAAGCTATTTTTCATTTACACATACATATTTATTTAATCAACTATCATTATTAGGTATGCGCCAGCAAACATTCATCTGGTACGTGTTACATTCTAAAATTTTCTTACTAAGGTTTTTAATAAAATATTAAGTAAAAATATAAATTATTATTTCTTCATAGACAAACAATCTAAAAGTTGTCTCCGAAAAGATGGAAAGTGCGATAGAACTGACGAAGGACAGTCAGATGATTCGGCAAGACTTACACTCATACTTAATATGGACAAAATTGATAAGGACGGTGTCACGGTCAGCCTAAAAGGAGACGATGAAAATAAGAGCGATATTCTAAGTTTAAGCAAAGGTAACATAAGTGAAAATCTGAACGCTGAGAGTAATTCTGAAGCCAGTGAAAAAGAAAAAACCGCTGATTCTAATTTTAAAATAGTCAGCAAACTAAATTCTAATGAGGCGGGTGGTGATGAAGCGGATAGTAATGAGGCGGGTGGTCATGAAGCGGGTGGTGATGAGTCGAGTAGTGATGAGGCGGGTGGTGATAAGGCAAGTCGTGATGAGGCGGGTAGTGATGAGACGGTAGGTGAGTATTATTGCATTTATTACCTCGACAGTCCGTCATTTAGTTCTAGAAAATAAGGTTCTTAGGGAAGTTTTCCAGTATTTTCAAAATATTTTTAAATTGCCACGTGCTATGTCCAAATTTCGACTTTTATACTTGGTATTGCTGTGGCTTGCACCGTCATGTTGAAAAAATAGCTCCTAGAAGCAGTTTTTTGTCAATATATATTTTCCGACTCATTTCACGATAAAAGTATTTTACATACAAAATGAAACTAGCAAGACTACTGTTTATGTTAATGTTTTTACATGGGGTATGGGATTGCTAGTAAGATTTTTTCTTTCATAATTAAAAGGGACTTAGTCGAGCTACTACATCGTCTCATCTGGACAACAGACAATATCGCAAAACATGAGTAACTACGTCTTAAAACTACATCATTATGTACTTAAGCCTAAATCCGTAAAATAAACCGTCTAACTTCTGTCGTTGGATTAGACAATAAACCATTCAAATAGCTAACTACTGGCCGCTTGTTACCATCAAAACACGATGCTCTCAGATGCTCGTACCGGACATATTTCATCAAAACATGTTTTACATCTTCTATTACACCGCATTCAAGTCAATTGGGTAATGGGACTTTATTCCTCCAACTAGTAAGTTAAACTAAGAGCTATACTGTTATAACTAGTACTACGTTTCAAATTAAAGTGAAAGTGAAGTGAAGTGAAGATAATACAATGTTCGTGTTTCATGACGACGCTGTTAAAAAAGAAATGCTCGATGTTGCTTGAAATGCTATGGTTTGAGTAGTCATCGTTTATTCAATGATTGATATTGAAAATGCCTCCACAGAAATAACGTTTTTTATTCTATTTTGCTCGCCTTTTTGCTCAAACTTTACACAGACAAAAGCTATAACATATTTAACGGATTTTATAATTATTAGGCTATTGATAAAACAGAAATGTGTTTATTATGTTATCACAATAAAGAAAACATTTGCAGTTGGAGCCGTTATAATATTAAATTAAAAAACTTATTATGCGAAGTGATGCAGGACTTATTCTCAGCAACCCAAACTTTACAATTGCTGCTGTCAATGTCATCCACGCGAGAGCCCGACACGTCATTGACGCGCACAAACCTGAATTAAAAAAAAAAACAAAACATGTTTCTGATACATGAAGTTAAGGCCAAATTAGTCATACTCTACCATAACATCATTTTAAACGGTATTAAGTAGTGAGTGAGGTGTGATAAATGTACTGCAGTTATCCACAATAACAACTTAATCACGTTTACCACTCTACTTGAACATTTAGCATACCGGAAAATGAATGAGCTAAACAAATATTTGATTTTGAGGAAATGAAATAAAACAGGGCTGCGTGATTAGGTACAGGAAAGAATTAGTATTCTCCCGTCCTTCAGAAGTCACGCCAGGTGAAGGAGAACGCTAAAAGATATTGTCTTTATATACGTAATGTAGAACATACAGGAACGAAGGCGCAGCCAGGTATTTTTTAAATCAAAGGAGGAAAATCATACAGCGCAGTTGCATTATAGGACTCTAAGTAAAACCCGTAGATTTTGGTTTTCGACATTAACTCTCGTCTCTTGCCGGACTTTAAACATTCAAAACTTGTCTAATAAAAATTGATGTTAATTATGATATGCGTAATCAGAGTAAAATTTTTCTGTTTCAGAAATGAAGAGAGCGCTTAGAGCTGGTAATATATTTAAATTATTTTATAACTTTCTCTGTGCTATCTAAAATGTGTCAATAAATGTCAATATATGCTCACCAAACATACAACTCCATAAAGTGATAGGTACACTTCAAACACCATACCCATGAAATGTTTAAAATTATATTACCTAAAATATACAACGAATAATTTGTTGTATGAGTCATGTAGCCTTTTCACAAACAATGTCAACCATATAAAATTGAATTATTCAAAACTTCTCATAGATATGTGATCACAAAGTTATACGAGTATTGCTATACAAGGCAAAAATTATCACAACCCAACATCTACTTATACATGTTTTAACCATGATACTAAGTTCAGTTCAGTTTCATTTTCATGATATGTGTAAAATATAGCACCTTATGCGAAAAGAGCGCTAAGGAGAAATTCCATTTATTGGCGAGACGAAAATAACACATTTATTAAAATGAAACTTGTAGTATGTAGTACTTGTGTATTGTATAAATTATTTTGATTGAATATATTACATCTTAGATAAAAAGTTTAAATTTTTCAGTACAAATTGGCAATGTCATACTTTAACCCCTATTATTATATAAGTAATCTAAAATGTTTTAAATTATCGTGATTATTGCATTGGGGTAAACCTATTAAGATAGTGGAAAACTGTAATAAATAAAATAAAAAATATTGATTTAAAAGGTCAGAAGAAAACTAATTATTTAACATTTAAAAGCAATAATATATTATATAATTTTTTTATATAGTTTTTTTGGGTTATGACCTTTTATTATTTGAGCAATTAAATACGAGGCGTCTCGCAATCTTAACATTTCAAACTTTCAAAGTTATAATTTAATGACAATACATTTATATGTATTTATAATGTAAAAAACTTTGTTCAGTTAATACAAAAAGCACTAAAATAACGCAAAATAATGCAGAGATATACTTTCAAAAAACAATGTGTATTGCACACATCTAATGATTTTTATCGTAACCTACACTTTCAGGTGATATTTTCACTCCTCATGAGCTACTACCAGTTACTAAAAAATTACTGGACAAAGGTAACTATGGCGTCGAGACATAAACGCTTTAAAATGTATGTTTGTGCCTTTTTTTATGTTTGCATGTATTTTCTCATTTCATTTTACTAAATTTTAAACTGGCCCTCTTTATACGCATAGGAAATATTCAACTTTTAAAACTGAGGATGTTCATTTTAAAATTTAACGATCAGCCTTATAATTCGTAAGCTAATCTAAACTAAGAAAGTAGTAGTAGTGTAGCCTAGAGCTCCCAGTGGACTACATTACTACTACTTTATTTTATTATTATGACATATTTATCCAAGTATGTAATAATAATAAATTATTAAAGTGTAATAACAATACTAATAGCTAGTTACAAAATGTGCAACTAAGTATATGAAACTAACATACCTACAACTCTTTAAATATTACATAATATTCATGTATGTATTCAAAACGCATTTGAGTTTGTTTGCTTTTTTAAATTGCATAATTTTTTAATCATTATATTTTTCCAATTTACAGTTGAATTGTCAAAAGGAGGTATTGATTTTTTTTTTAATAATTTGATCCCCTTATATTATTTTTTTGAATTTTCTTTATGTTTACTTTTTATCATAAACAGAGGGCAGAGGCATTGTGAGTGCATCCAAGAGTCCGGAAGACTTGGCCGACAGAATCTTTGCAGCTTACTGTATGTATTCTAATACATTAAATTTCAAATCATAATTACCTTGTAAATTGTCCTCTTCTTAAATGTCGTCACTATTCATTAGTACTTCCCTGGTAGAGGCATAGGCAAACCTGTATATACCTGTTTGTTATTTCAAATACGTTAAAGCGTACTCTAGCTAGATTATCCCTTTAAAGATTTAACATCTATTTTTTTCATTACTAGGGTAGAATAAAACAGTGGCAGTTTTCTAGTAAGTAGGTGTAAGCAGTTCAATTGTCTAGCTACGATCAGATAGAGTAGTCGACGGTGATACGAGTATCTTAGATCTAGAAACAGCTTCGTATACTGTTTCTGACAAGTATTTTTTGTTTTCTTTAATTTAATTACTAATGTTCGATACTTCCTTTACCGGGATAAATAGAAATACATTTCACAAGATGTACAAAACGATCGAGTGTCATTTGCCAAAATACCCAGTGCTGAACGGGACGGTTAACACTAATTAAGTATTCGCTTCATCGGGCGCTCTAGTTTAGCGGTGTGAACAACATAAATCAAGTGTCTTTGGCCTGTTTGTAGATGTACATTGCCCGATATAAAATAGCAAACTCAAATACTTAATTTCTTGAAAAAAGTGTTTTCAACTTTCAAGTGTATCAAAAGATAAATACTCATATATATACCTATATACTCATATATATATATTTGATGGCTGAAGAGAATAGTTATCCCTCTGTTACCAGTAATAATATCTCATATAATTATACTTTGTATGTATCTATATAGTGTACAATTCACTCGTAAACGCATTTTTATTCCTTTAGATATATTTCCAATTTCCCTATATTTGGTGAGTGGCCAAAACTTATAGTTGGCAATATATGGGTGTCTAATACAACCCTCTTATATAGCCGTAAGTACAAATATGTATGTTTATACCTCATATTATTAGGCAATTTCTCACGGGCATTTATAGTTGTCGTTTAAATAGCGTTGCTCAGATTCCTCTAAAAATTGTCTGAAAGAATCCGGGACTAGTTATGAAACTATCTTCTGTACAATATAGTGTGTATTTAGTGTACATACATCTATAATCTATTTTACAATAAGATATATCTAATGTATTCTATAAGTGTCTATTATTGTAATTAAATTTAAACTCATCCACAGTTTTAACCATGAAGAGAATTATAATTTTGAAAGGTTAGAACTCGTATTCCTTTTTTATAGTTAGTTGTACTCGTACCTAACATATTGTCATAAAAAAAATAACGCATTTCAGATGTAGATATTGTGGGTTTGGACGCACTTCAATCTTTAGCCCTTAAAGAAGATCGTAAGTAACTACCGATTACCATTATATTTTACAAGTGCTTAAACACTCCCCCCCCCCCCCCCCCCCCCCCCGACCCCAGCCGAATGCAACACCCGCATTATAGGACTATTTGTGTTATATAATACTAGCTTTTGCCCTTTTGAAAGGTCGGTTATCGGGGTAAAAAGTAGTCTATGTTCGCTGATAATGTAGCTTTCCATTAGTGATAGAATTTTAAAAAACGGTTCAGCGGTTTAGGCGTGACACCGTAAGAAACTAACTCACTTGCACATTTGACATAAGTATGGATGTGTGGTTTGCTATTGCTTTTACAACATATTTTATTCTAATGGTTAGAATCATGCGCATTTATTAAAAATATCTAAATCAAAAAGACACAACTATTTGTATTACGTAGGGATAAAACTAACTAACTAAAAATAATAATAACCAACGAAGTTAACAATTACTGCGTCTGCATAATGGTGCACAATAGTCGATTGAGTAGTCTTCTGTGCTCACTCTACTCTGATTTGTTAATATATGTTCTTTGGCCACAATTTTTTATTTTATATTCTTTGCATCAGAGGTTTTAAAATAAATTATAATTTAACAATTTACATTTCTTATGACAGCTACGTATTTAAAATACATTGTGAGAACAATGTCAAAAGCACCGAAGATAGTAATACGAAAACCAGGTATTTATTTAAATTAATACTTTCCACAGCATTTATTACATGTATTTTGTAATTATAAATTCATATTAAACTTACGAGAATGTTTGAATTTCAGATAAAGAGCTCGAGTCTTATCTCCCGCCAAGAAGGAGCCGTTATAAACGTAAGTAATTATTACCATCAACGAACGTAAAATACTACATTTCCAAATTTACTATGTTTTGCAGTGCTTACAAAAAAAGAATCGAAGACTCGAAGGGCTGCTGAACTGAAACTCGAAAAAAAGAGAAGGCGAAATATAGGTGAGTAAATATCATTCCTTTTTGAAGTCTTCTTATCTTTTTGTGTATCCATCAGCTCGTAAAGGTACAACTATTTAGTTAAAATTATATCTTAATGCGTCTAAGGTATTCTGAAAAATAAATGCTTTGACAAAAATATTTCATATTTTGATAGACCGTAAACCAGTAAATCGACACGATGACCTAGAACCATAAGAAACGCCCAGTAACTTTTGCTTCTTTGGCAGTTTAAAAGTTTTACTTTTATATTCTAATATTATGTTATTAGTGTTGCAGCTACAAAAGAAGATGCAAAAAAAACGACACCTAGTGGTAAATCCTACATCTGGGAAATTTAAACATGGCAAGAGAATGCAGTCTTTTCGAAAAGGTAAACTAAAAACAATAGTTTTAACATACATACTGTTTTAACATACATCGTGAGTGACTACGAATCCGAATCACCTGCATTGCCAACTCTACTCGAGAACTCTATTTGTTTGAGTGAGCTCGACTCAGAAACAAAACAAAACAAATTGATGAACAACCCGTGAATGATATTTCACCGTGTTCTTTTGTAGGGTGGATCTTTGCCTGGAACATTCTTATTTCTGACGTGAGCCACGCTTTTTAGCAAAAACACCTCTCCTATAACGTAAAATGTACATTACTCAGAGCATTTTCTTTAAATGTAAAGTTATTTGAGTCAACTTTGTACATATGTAGCAACATTTGCATTATAAAATCCATTACATTGTATGAGGTAGCTGCGTTATCAGTAATTATAAATTTAAATTCCACATTTCTTTGAACTCTAGCCAGCTAGTGAGAAATGATTATTTTTTGCTGTCAAAGCTAGGGAAAAAATGTAATAAAATATTAATTATATATTATATTAACTGTTTTAGCTTTATTGGAACCCGGATGCACGTGGCATTATGAATGTAGAGAACCGCATGATTTAGACACATGCCATTTAAAAGCACATTGTAAAAATGAGACCTTGTCCAATGGATATATGGATGGTGAGATAATACCCTGTGCATCAGAACAGAAGACGAAGAAAGTGTCTGTTTTGAAAATCAAAACTGACACTTTTTTTATGATACAGAGGGGAAAACGAGCAGACGGCACACCTGATGGAAAGTGACCACTGAGTTACAGGCGTCCATAAGCCTGCAACTCAGGCGCCTTCTCGGCCTTTAAGGTGGGAGTATGCTCTTTTCTTAAAGGTTTAGAGGTCATATCGGTCGGGATGTACAGCAGGCGACAATGTTTTCGCACATTTTTCGTTGAAAAACTTTGGAAAACATTGAAGGTGAAGAGGTGAAGGGCCAATTATAATTATCCAAGTGATAGAGAATGGCCGGTATTAGTGCGAACAGTTCCTCGGTGCCCTCCCATGAGACAAGCTATAGAGAATATAACGCTATAGAGACAAGCTAATAGAAGCTACACTTCTATGCAGCGCCAAGGGGTCAAGCCGATGGATTTTTTTTTGGCAATCGATGATTCGAATCGTTTGCCGTTGAGTGCGATCCAGAAGAAAAAGCAGGTAATGGGTGCCCCTGCAACGAAATGAGAACAGTATTCCATATGCTTTTCGTTCCAGTTGCAGCCTATTGGCTGGATTGAAATACTGTATCGATCTGTTCCTCATATTGTGCTTATTTGGCCTAACCGTCGACTGTGACCGCGAAACTGGAGTTCGTTCGATATATTGTCTACGCCAAGGATTCCGATGCTGGCTGTGGCAATTAGGAAAGTATGAAAAGTATTTATATATATAACAGCGCAAGGTTAAGTTGAACTCAGGTGTGCTCCAAGGAAGTCGGACTAGTGGTTGGATATTAATAATAAAAATAATAATAAAATTTTCACATATTTCACACATGGCGGTCTGATCCCGAACTAGGCAGAGCCTGTACTGTGGTAACTAGACTGCTGATAAACATACTTATATATTTATAAATACATACATATTATAGATAAAGTACACTAAGTATTCTCTACATAGTAAATAATTATTTATATTATATAAATGTATAAATACGTATGTATGTATAAATATGTATGTATGTAATATGTATGTATAAATTTATACTGATATTACCTAACCATTTTTCAGAGTTCATCACACCATCATCACAAGGGGTTACTATGTCTAAAAACTTTCGACGTGCTGGTAAGTTCTTATTTTATCAACAACCATCGTCATCCGCAGCTATTTTCATTTAATATCTGGCGAAAATAAAGTCTTAGTCTTTTTTTTTAATATCGATGTGCGTAGAGTACACGTAGAAATCCTATTGTGCATAAGGTTGCTGTCACAACGACTGTATTAATGTAAATCATACAATCAACACGTCTAAACTTATATAGGTAATTATTTCTGATTAACAAAAGCTACTATATTTACAATTATGAAGTCTATTTGCCTCTTTGCTTGCTTCGTACCTCATAAATGGATAGAAAGTTATCTTGTGTGTAGATACAACTGCTAAGAGTACTGCGTTAACTCAAATATTACAACAAATCTATACAAAATACACCACGATGTTAATAGAGTACGAATATATGTATTTTATAGTTTTTCAACTTCCTCAGCCTTATGCTCCTCAGTATTCTGTTTTGACTGTTTGCTAAGATGAAAATTTTATTTTACAGTGGGCGTTGATGTAATTGACGAAGAGGTAGAAAAAATAAGTAATTGATTGCATTTTCTTACCTAATTATTACGTACCTTATAACCTAAGAAGTACTCAAATTATTAGCAGTAAAATTAAATTCAATCGTAGTATGAGCATCAGTGTCAATGTTTAGAATCCCTCTCAGTCAGCAAATTTTAATTCTGAATGATGTGAGCATATCAGCGTTCTATAGTAATTTATTTATATATTTCTTTATTGTATACAGTTAACACATAAATAAAGATTAGTTGTAAATGTGTACACGTAATGTCATTTAGTTATTTAAATTTTTTTTCGAACCAAAACTCATCAGTCTTTGATTTTTTGGCAATATAGCATTTGCATTTGTGTATAGAATCATAATTAGTTTTTATTTACAGTTGCAAACCACGTTTTACTCATCAAGCCTGAAAACTTGAGTAAGCGGCATCTGCTATTATATATAAATAGCATTATTATATTACTTATATAATGGTTGATCACGCATGTTATTTTACAGAACAAAATATAAACATGGAGAGTTTGGATGAATATTTCAATAGGCTGGTTGTGGCTCATCATGCGGGTATGTAATTAACTGATTTCATAAGCTGAATCATAAAAAAAAAACAAAATACATTTTTTTACCAAAGCAAACAGGTTCAACTTCTTTGCGTGGAGCGGTGCTTCTTATTTTATTGAACATGACAATGATATTTAAAGAGTTTCTCCCTCTTATTCAGTTTCTTTTCATCTCTCTCTGTCTGAATATAAAATATTAACTAAATCGCTATTTGAAATACAGTATTGACTTTTTCTTATTTATAAACTTTTTCTTTGTATAATTATCTTTTTCGCGTGACTGCACCAGGATCTCGATTCCCAATGTTTATCTATAATCTGGTAATATTAAATATGTGTTAAGTTTAACCCAAATTGGTTAACAGCAAGGCTGCTTGTAAGAAGCATGTTCAATCTTCTAGAAAATTGAAAACTTGTATTTTCTGTACGGCTATTTTTCTTTGTCTTTGCTTCGACTAGTTTTGTCTGTCTTTTCTTACAATTTCTTCTTCCATTAAATCAATAATAAAACAAAAACTTCAACATACAAACACTTCAAAATAATTAACAAAATCGTTTTAGAGATTTGATAAAACTAGTCAATTCTCATAACCAATTTTATTGGTTGTTTAAAACTTAAAGATCTATCAGAAAACCATGTTATAATTTATATTTATATAATAGGTACTACACCAATCTCCTCACTGAAGTTAAATACAAATAATAATACTGAAGATTCAAATGCTGAAGATAGCAATTCTGTTACTTCCGATTCATCCAAGCGAAAAAGGCTTTATAGAAAAACTGAAAAGGTAATACAATGTTTTTTTTTATTAAAAATTTTAAACGTCTCGAGTGAATAGAATTGCAGAATTCGGACACTTTATATTAATATATTAAGACATACTTATTTAAGTATTTACAACATTTACACTATTAACATCGCGCATCAAAAAATTCCTCCACTTCATCGCCTACTGGTAGCGTTCCCAGAAGACTTATACTGTAAATATTACATTTTATAATACAGATGATTGACATCGCATTTCGGTCTGAAATTGTTCCATCGCCACTGAAAATCTGTTTTTTATGTTATTCACACGTGTATTTTACGGATGCCCGACGAATAACTAAAGTCCGAATGGGGGCCTGTCGTAAATTTACCATTGTTTTGCAGTGGTTGTGGATTAAACTCCTAATTATCTCTAAGGTTATTTTACCTTATTCATGATTTTAACTAATATTCACAACTTATAACGTTTCTAAAATTGTATTGCTCAAAAATTAAGTTCATGTAACTGGGGTCAAATAAAAACTAGGACCACGATCTCAGCTCATAAATTATTATTTTTTATTATTTTTAGTAGGAGAAGTCGAATTAATTCTGTAATTAAAACATTTTACAATTCTTTTTTTGTTGTATTATTGTTTAAATTTATCTAAGCTTATTCACCTTAGGTACTTACTGTGTTCAAAAACCAACTCAAAGTAGTACCTAATTAAAAACTTTTTTAAATAATTATTGTAATATTCTAAATAGGGGTCCTTGACCAACTTCATTTTCGTAATCACAAGACATATAGCTTAACATTATATGTTATATTTAGTTATTTCAGGACCTTATTAATTATTGGAATTATAATGCTTAAATTACTTTAAAAGAAGAAGAAGAATGAGAAGAATCATTTATTTGCCAAAAAATGTTGTACATTTATGGATGTTACATGGAGTACTTAATCACACATTTCGCCAATATTGACTTGCAAATTTAAAATTAAATCATATTACATTGTAAATCGAATTACCTACATAAAAGTTGCATTTAAAATTTTAAAATAATGACGCTTAACTTAATTAAAATAATCATTATTATTTATATGCACACATTAAACACATGGAAATGAAAATAGAATAGGATAATTAATGTCAAATGGTCTAATATTTAAAAATTCAATAAATTTATAATGTAATTTATTTTGGATTTTGGACTTTTAGATCCAAATTCGTACATGAAATAAAAAGAGTGTTGTATCAGCCATTTTTTCAATTCAGCCTTCATCTTAGACAGTGGCAATTCGCGAATTGACTTGGGCACATAATCAAAAACTCTTATACGCATTATATCGCAGTTTCTCTTACATGCAGGCATTAACAATCTAGTGGGATCTAGTTTACCTATAATTGAATTGTCTCTAGCAGTATTAACAGTATTATTTACTTGAGAATTTTTTCACACATACGCAAATTTCTAAGATATTTAAGCCTGTAAGAGTGAGTATACCGCAATGGGTTTTAAAAAAGAACTACACATAAATTAATTGTGAAAACATTAGGCATAACAGCTATCTTCATGAAAATTACCGTGTACCAGCCAAAAGGCTAGTTACATTCCAATGTGCCTACTACATAAACTGACGAGTCGTGCCAACGGAAAAAGGATATTGCCATCTGCGACATATTTATTACTTACACAAACTATTACTACTATTATGACCTAATGCACAAACAAATAAGACGTCAAAAGACTAACACAAAGAAAATGTCATGGTATTGCCTAATCATTGCCAAATAAGCGGAGTGATAAGTTATAATTCATAGAACTTGCTATAATACAAAGGAAATATCTATTTGAAGTATTAGTACTTATATTAAAAAGCGTTATTTAAGTGGATCGTATCTAAGTCAGTGACAATTAAATAACTTTGCTGCAAACTTAGCAGCTAATCCAAGTATTCTTTATGTCACAGAAACCCGACTGGGCAGTTCCTCAGTTGGGGGTACCATAACGGACTATCAACGTCACAATCACCAGCACACGCAGACCCATAGTACGTTATTGTTTAAAAAAAAAATTCCTAGAACCATACCTAAAATCATTATAATTGAGTGGGTTAGCCGGTGCGGGCAGGCCCCGAAAATTGTATATTGAACAGATCGGCAGTGTACTGAAGAATGGCTCGTTCAAAGACCCGTAACCGGCGAGTTTCTATGAAAGACTATATGAATGTGGATGAGGTGCGAGCTGTATCCTAGGATCGTGGCAATTGGCATTCTATCGTCTCTGTCTACCCCGGACGGAGTTCAGGCGTGATAGTATATATGTGTTACATTGCTAAGAGTATTGACTGGTTTTTTTTTATGGCTGATCGCTTGCATGACGCTAATGTTCCTTGGTAATGTTCCTACAAAGGAAGAAGGAAAATTGATTTTGTGATTGGAGCTGCCTTTAGGACAGGCTTGCCAACTGGCCCAAGTAACTTTCATTTTGATGTGAACGGAGGTCTTGCCTCTTTTAGGTTTTTGTAAACTCACATCGATAAATACTTTTAACGATGTGAGTTTACAAAAACCTACCTACCTTTTTGTATTTTAGAGCATGTGTTTTTGTCAAACTCAATGTATTATATAGAGGTATTCAGAGATATAGCCTCCAAAAGAGTAATTTTGGTATATAGTCTTAAGATACTTATTTATTGTATTTAAAAAAAATGCTTATTGATTTCAGGTAGAAGAACCTATTAAGAAATCAAAGATCAGAAGTTCTAACACTGGAGTCGAGAATTCTCGAAATATACCACACATAGTCAAATTGGTAAAACCTTCACCTCGGTTTAAACAAGAAACCACTACTTCGGTCGCCAGTTAAAAAATGTACTTATATTGTGCGTACCTAAAATATATCGAAACAAAAAAAGGTTCACAATAGTTGTGTTGCATTTTGAGATACATACCTTTCATTAATTTTTTCCAAAACTTTAAATGCGCAAAAAATGTTTGTAATTTCTGATGTAATTTTTTATGTTTTTTGTTATTATAATAATATATAACTCCTGGGCTCTTATTCGTATTATTTATTTTGATATTAATTGTAAATAGTTACCATTTTTGTATACCCTGGATAAACGCTTTTCTCCAGGGTATTTTAATAAGCATCGGCAAAGTATCCCTTTGCTTGATAATAATCTAGGATGTGTCCTAGTATTTCCTTATTATATTATTCCCTGATGCATACTATGTTTATATTAATACTAGTATAAAACCTCATCAATGAGTCTATAATTTATTCAGATATATATATGTATACGTTCTATTTTGAAAAGGTGAAAAGGCTACACGTGTAGAGCTGCTTCGTCAATAGAGCTTGGAGTAAATTATTCTCATCTAGCACAAGGCCACGTACCCACACTGGCTGCTAGAACGGAAGAGAAGCGATACAGATGTCGAGGAAGCGAATGACAACATTCAGAACCATTTCCAAGCTATTCATTGCTTATTTATTCTTTTATTCAAGTCGTAGTCGTAGTTGTAGTAATTCTACGAAGTTATGTTAAGACAGTTTGATTTTATTTTGTTGTTATTAACGATCTCTAGTGATATTTTAAGATTATTCGAAACGACAGAAAAATTCAGTCGCTTTCCTCATCTGCAGCAGTAGAAGCAGTGTTAAAAAAAATAGGAACGTTTTTACCTACCATTAACTATGCTTTGGAAATTTAAAAGGTATGACTTCAAAGTGTGATGCACGAATAAATAACAGTAATAATAATATAAAAATCATATCTGTGTGTGCCGCCTGGTCCCAAACTAGGCAAACAAAGACAAACAAAGAATGTTAGAAGTACAGTTTTTCTCGCAATTACTGGTCGAATTTTCACAACTGGGCCAAAATTCCTGAAATTAATTTTAAGATTTTTTTGATTTTCAAGCTAAGCATCTAAAATTGTCATTATTCATTACCCAAATATCCAAGTTTTCTGAATAGAATAAAGTCAAGATAATAAAAATTCAATAAACGTAATCTCATTTCAGCTGAAGAAGATATCTAGATCCACCGAAGATTATGTTGGACTAAGTCCTCTTTGATAAGTTATATTTATTTAGTCCAATTAACTGTGATATCAAACATAGCGTACTCATACTCTTTTTTTTTTCAAGAAAAGTTTTTGAAACAATCTCATTATCTCTACTTATCTTGAGAAGAGAAGGCAGACAATGCGACTCGCTGGCTTAGAACATTCTACAAAACAATATAAAGCAAATGATCCTGGCGTTAGTTAAGCCGTGGCTTGTTAAACCAATATTATGTACACAAACCAACATAAAGTCATTTTATCGTCATCATCAAAGTATATAAGTGTTCTATCAGTCAATCTAGCTTTAATAGTATAAGCTCTGCTTAGTTTGAAACTAGATGGCGTTGTGTGTTAGATGTCCGAAATATTATTATTATTAATTATATTTTATTCATCGTAGCCTAAATGGATTGACACATCACAAATGCTATCTTTTATTTTAAATGACGCAATTGTTTTTCTATGTGAGAATAATATCCAATTGCACTTAACGAATTCGCACAGTCGGTAATCAAAGTGATAGGTCTAAATAAAAAAAATGTTCAAAACATTTTAATGGTATTATAATTTATTGTGGATGAAAACATTAAATTCAATTTAATATTATTTTTCATTTTGGTTTATTTTTCGATGACGACGATTGTAGATTAACATGTGTTCTGCATTTAAGATAATATTATTTACATATCGATATACTTTTATATTCATACTGTAAATTATATCTATTTATGTTATAAGATGTACTTTTTTAAATTTATCTTAAAAATGTTTTCTTTGGGAAACTGCTATTTTATTTCTTTTAAATGTTGATTTTAAATATTCATAAAGGTTAGGTATGATTAAATAAAAAAGAAAAGATTACGATACAACTTTGACGAATAATTAAAATTGAGGTTGTATTTACTAAAAATAACTTCGAAGCATACAACACAAGCTACAGCTAACATAACATTATAGTACAGTATTATAGTATAACATACAGTAATATAAGCTACAAAAACTAACTAATGAAAAGTTGTTGCATTTAATTTGATTTACATAATTTAATATTTTCAAATAGCATGGGTACTAGAGGTCGTCATTTTCTTTAAAAGTTTTGCATTTATTTTTAAATTTTCCTGAATCCAATTGTACATTCCATTTCCCAGAATATTTTGCTGCTAAAACGTAAATGTAGTTTTAGAACCACAGGGCCACAAGATAATATCAAAGATACTCGTATGTTACTACGAAAAGCAGTGGAGCAAATTACGGTATAACGATTTTCGAAACAAACAGAACGATATACGGAATTACAAACTAAGCTGCTAAGTTGGAAATGTCACATGATACGTTACGTGAATATTTGAATGGCTGACATTTCAATTTGACTTTGTTACGCTCAGTTACCAACAGCTGGAACAGTGACCGAATTTTGATCGGTTCAAACATGCGAGTGACAGCACAATCGGAACCAAGATTGAATTGCATACAAACTTCGATAACGTAAAGAAAATAAAGTATTCACACCATTGTCATCATTGTTTAAAAATTATAGTTAGATCTTATAGGAATACTTAAAATACTGTCGAATTTAGGGCTTATTTTTTGACAGATTTGACATTTGATATATGACGTTGAAGTCTGACCACATTTCATCAAATGCATCTATTTATAATATCAAAATAACAACTTCTTACTAAATACATACATAAGGCCAAATACATGATTCTAAAAAATCAAGTTTTTGTTTCTGCTAATCAACCAAATAGATGGACCGATTTCCTTGTAAACTCATAAGTAGATTGATAATGATATTAGTAGATAGTAACTTAGGTTACTTTTAACTAGATAAAGACTTAGAGCATAAAAATAATAACATATAATAGCAAAACGGGCACTGACTAGTTATAAGTCCTTAAGTCCTTAGAGCCGTAACCTGTCTCTTAAGATACAGGCGTAGCCTAGTTTAAGAGACATGGTTCAAATTTTGAATATACAACAATATTTTGTAACTTTAGAACTTTAGCGTATAATACTGTAAATACCAATTGTGTCTGCTAGTTTTACTGTTGTAACACCTTTGGACCAATAAATATATTTATTATTATTATTATAAGAGTAAAAAGTTTTTCTACTTTAGTTCGGTTTAAAAACAGTATTGATACGATATTGAACTGTTTTGTGTTAATTTATTTACATATACACATGAAAAAGAGGTTATTAGTGACAGACAATAATAAAAGTGGCTCTAAGCAAGTAGCTATAATACTTAAGGGAGGATTTATTTATTATATATTTCCTTAATGAGAAATTTATCGGTAACGCTATTACTATCATATGATTGCCTTTATTGCCGGCAATTTACAAATAACACAGGAGATATTAACAGTTCCTAATCAGTAAATGCAAATTGCGTAAACCTATTTAATTTAGATTTTACTCACCCGATCTTCATTAATTATTTTTTGTTGATGGGATGTCATACATCGTGTCGTGGAAATGGTAAACTGACAAATGATTACTCGATGAAAATACAAATTAAAATTAAAATAAAAAAAAACCTACTGTTTTTTTTATATAGTTTTGATATATTTTTATAAGATGTATCACAAATCTTACACTCACTTTTAGTAAACTATATATATATATATATTAAACAGAGATTCACCTATTTTCACACGCCTAAATCATTATAAATTCATGCCTTTAAAGGTTATTTTCTTCACATTTAAATGGGACCAACCTTCTGTAGCACTAATAGATTAAAAAAAAGAATGATTGAAATGGAATCGATTAACATGCAGACAAAAATATTTAATCCAATTGAGCACTTAGTCCTTTTTAAAGTTGATTTAAAAAAGATTACTTTTAATTATTAATTACTTAATTATGGTGCATGAGAGACCGTTGAGCTTGCACTGTCGATTGTTTTTTTTTCGTTTTTATCGATATCTACACATTTTTGCGCGCATGTGGTTGATTAGCACCCAGTATTCTACCTTCATTAGTGTGCACTTTAATAAAAAGAGAGATAAGATATTTAGTTTCTGATAATAATACCGTTTTACCCGTATCTTAGTTTGAGTATTTGTCCTTTAACACATTTATTGTATTTAGTTATCTTAATACGTTTTTAGTAAATCTAAATTTTAATAAATGCATATCACATTTCGGCAGCATATGAACTATTTATCCAATTGTTAACTCATTACGTTTCGTATGATAGATCCATTATAGATTGTAACAAGTAGATTGTCCATCGTTCGTAAAACATTCCTTTAAAGAATAATCTAACATACACGTAGTTAATCCGTGTGTTATTTCCGTTTTTACCGTTTAACAACAGGATACCGCATCAGAGTTTGCGTTCCCCTCATGAGATGGCAGAAGGCACATACAGATTTTCCCCTCTACTTTTCATTTTTTTATTTCTTTACTCACCAGCATAAGGAAATCGTGAGGAAATCATAAAATATAGGTATGTGGAAAGTAATGAATCTATTCAACTTTGTGTGTGTATCTTAAACGTTTTAGTAACCATTTTTTGATTACATATTTGTGTATTTTCATAACAGCCTATATTTGTAGTTGTTTAATAGGTGTGCGGTGAGACAGGTGAGTACACTCAATTACATTTCGATCAGGGCATCGCCGGCGGCGCATGCGGTCGTCCTAACCGGATTATTGGCCGGCGCGGCGGTACATGGCGGCGTGGTAACATGACTGCGCGCGAGCGGAGGGGCTGACGACCGCGCACTATAATTTGATACAGATTCATCAACACCTTAACAACATTCACCCAGCTCCATGA